AAACGCAGATGAGGTAACGTACACTGATGGCTCGGGAAAACAATGTACTGGCAATGATCTAGCTTTGGTCTCATCTGACGGCTGCAGAATAGTTTGCTTCCGGGTTCCTTTAGCTCCCTCGGATGTTTCTGGACGCAAGTATGCCTTATCATCCATGCTGATACAAAGGCTCCCATTGACATTTCTGCCTGAAAAAAAATCTCTTCCTTAGCTAGATGCACTTGCTTTCTCTGATGGTGAGTGCACTCATTCCGACGATCTTCAGTCTTGGGTGGTTTTTTGCTACACCATAATCCTTTCCCTAGGTAACGCTTTGCTTGCCGTGACCTCTTATTAGTTGCCCTGGCCCTAGTGGTAATGCTTGGAACTGACTTCAAAAGTCTCTTCCCTTGCTTCAATCGACGGTAATTGGCAATATTTAGAAGAGCTCTGCATTTAACTCTGTGATGCGTATATAGAACAGACTCATGCCTTCTTCCGTGAATGGTCGCTTTATCTTCAAAGCACTTCACTAGCCATTCCTCATCTTCTGAGTCAAGTTCCTGTTTCCGTCCTGAACTCAATCTTCGTTTTGAGATTCTCTGCTCAGCAACAAGACGACAAGCAGTCCCCTTGGCAGCTTGGTTGAATCGTTGCTCATCCTGTTTGCTCCGACGCTCCAATGTTGCCACAGTACTTTCCAAAGACTCTTGAAGAGCTATCGTTTGTTCTTCCAGATCTCCAACTCGAGCATCAGTCCATTTGCCCCGCACCAACTCCATCGTCTTCTCAATTTCGCCAATCTTTCACTCCAGTTTGACTTTCTTTTCCTTGAGCCTCAGTTCTACCATGTCTCTGGCCGCGACATTACTATTTTCCCAGGCTCCAAACCATTCCTTCAGTTCTCGTAGCAGTTTTATGACTCTGTCAGGTTTAAAGCCAAAGTCGTATATTTCTTGGCGAGACTTTCCAGTACAAACCAGAAGTTCAGCAGCCCACCGATCGTTCTCTGATTCCATACTTGCAAGAGCCCTGTATACATTTTCAGCGGAAAGACCAGACTCTGCGGGCTCTGAATCCTCTGCTTCCCTTCCATGGAGAACTTTCAGAAATTGACAAATATCGAGTTTAACGTCATTTAAAATGACGAATCGGCCAGATTTATACGAACATATAATGACACCTAGACCAGTGTCCTTGTCAAGGAGTTCATTACGAAATGTGTGTTTTGACATGTGAACTGCATAAGAGTCGAATATTTCATAGGCCCTGTAATGAAATATATAAAATCCACCATTAAATTTCAATTGGATGTTCTATGCCGTACTTAGATCAATGAGTCGTAGCCGGACTGAAAATCTAGTCAGGCAAAAAGAAAAACTGAACAAAATATTTAAAAAAGATTTCTATTGAAATTTTAATAAAAATATGCTAATAAACTTACTTCCAGTTCAAAATTTTAATATTAGGAAAATTTAGAGCCGGCTATGGCCCTGCAGCTGTGCACTAGAAAAGACCATTCATTACATGTAGTCATAAAAAAAAATATGGAAAGATAGAAAAACATTAAAAAAAAAAAAAAAAAAGAATTTACCTCTCAAACGACATAATGCCACTTGGAAGACCACTGCTGTCATTTGAAGCAAGCAGGTCTTCTAAAATAGCACGAAGTCCTGTCAACTTCTGGCGTCTCCTTTCGCTTTTAGTCCGCGTGATCAGGTCATTTATCAGGCTTAGATTATCGGAGCCTGAAAGAGGTCGGAGGGACTTGAGTGTTATGTCATTAACCTTTGACTTGGATCTCTTCTCCTTCCTTTTCTCTTTGTAACTCATTCGTTGCAGGCTTTCGGCATGATCCGTGCTGCACTGATTTACGCACTGTGATTTATCACAAAGTACCACACAGACAAAATGATTGACATAAATTTCTGCTTTTAATAATTATTTAAGTGAGATTCAAACGATGGTCTAAATAGACATGTAAGAAATCACGCCAAATATTTACTGCAAAGAGTGGACATCTTTTTTAAAAAATTATTTTATAAATCGTTTAAAAGAGAATTATACTGTTTTATAAAAACCAGAACTTGCTAGACTTTACGTAGATCTCTAGTATTATTCTTGATACTTGGTCAACAAGGCTCATGAAAAAAGACAAGTGTTGGGGAAAAATTTACTTTTAACAACGTTTTTACTTTCTATACCAATTCCATGCTGAATTATTTAATCACTATCTTCAACTAAGGAGGAACTGTCGTCATCTTCTCCTTCCTCATTCACTACTTCCATCTCATCTTGATCTTTCTCACCTTCTACATTTTCTTCGTGTTCTAGTGACTCAGCAGCTTTGTTTTGGATTGTTCTTACATGTTTACCACTAGAGGATTGTTTTGCATGGCACGCATCAATCGTTGCAATCCCGAACAACTTCCGGAAGCAAGATTTTGAAAGGCTGGCTTTGATTGTTTGGACAGCTTGAGTGGTTGCTGAGGTGTTGTTTAAAACGGACGACAAGCAGAACATTTCGTGTACCTTTAGTGTAGCAATTTCTCCAGGGATAAGGATGTCGTGGTCGATAAAGAAGTCTTTATCCAAGGTAAGTTCAGTGTCTCCTTGGATCTGGAAAATCTTTCGTTTAATTGCCTCCTCGTTTTTTTTATAGCGCAGTCTTCTCCTCTTCTCGTTCTTGTGGCGTTTCTGCTTTCGCATTCGCGACTTCCGTCTTAGCGCGTTTCCCTGTTTCAATGGAAAAATTAACGCTACTTTGTCTCGAGCCTTCTCCAACAGCTCCATGGTTTCGCCGACAGTCTTTTTGACTATTTTCAAACTCTCCAAAAATTCTGCATTCGTATCATAACAAAAGTTGTTGCCAGATTTTATATGCCGTCCGTTTGAATTGAGTAGCGCATTATCATCTTCAGCTACTTCCGCATTCAGCTCATCGATTTTGACCTTCAGCTTCGAAAGGTCATCAATGTTGTTCTTAATCGTGGTAGCGTCATGGCGTTTTGCGCTAAAAATTTTCCTCCATGAATCTCCCGGCAGCCGCTGGATTATCAGAAGTCACAAAAGCCAACTTGTGATGTATTGCTTTGACAGCCTCGCGAACTTCCCACTGGCGCTTTATTTCAGTCACAAAACAGCGGCGAAAGCGTTCCTTGTAGGGACAAGTGGTCCAAAAGGACAGGTAGAATTTGGGGAAAATGCCATTTGAGAACTCAGTATATTCGCCCTTTGGGTTCGGGTAACACCCCAGATCTTCATCTTTCCACTTCTCTGGACTTGTACTTTCAGTTGCTCCCGCAGCCGATGCGCTACCAACAGAGTCAGAGGAGTAGCGGGCATCCTTTTTAGAATGGCGAGCCGGCAAACAGCCACAATAGCCTCAAGTTGCTCCATCTGACCTCATGAAATCGTCGCATTCTCCACAAGCGCATTTCCTTCTTTCTATTCCTCGCACATCCTTGACCATTTTCAAGTTTTTACTGTGCAACGCCACACACTTAACTGCTTTGTGCGCAGACACGGTTATGCGAGCAACACTTCCGATCAGTTATTCTCACTTCCGGTTATTTTTGTCTTGGAGGAGGTGGGGGAAGGGTCAGATCCCTTTATTTAGGCATTTATGAAGGGTCATGCACTAATCCAATCTGGGAAGTGGGAGGGTGACGACTTTTTTGGCAAAAAATTTCTAAAATACCCTGGCCCACCCCCCGCCCCCAATAAAAAACGTACCTTCCCTAATGAATTAGGATCCTTTAGCTTCTCTCCCAGCGGATAGCTTCCTTTATCCTTGCTCAGTTGGCAAGAATTTTCAAGATAAGATTCCGGAAAGTTGTTTTTCTATTCGATTTTTAATTGGAATTTCCGGAAATTTTTATCAACTGGAACCATTTTGAAATTTGTGACTCCAAGAAAAGTAATCCACGATTTCATCACGACTTGATTTTGAGTTGTAGCCAAAAAAAAAGAAAAAAAAAAAGGAACTGGCGTTTGTTCCAACACGCGAATTTATTTCAGACAATACGGTTGCAATTGCTCTCCAAAAAAAGAAAAAACCGGATTAAATACAAGTAACAGAGGAAGACAAATGTAAAGGAATCAAAAGGGACATCACAATTGAGGAGAAATATTACAGGACAAATTACAAATTTGTTCCTTTTCGGAAAGGGAGCAAGAGAGATTTGACAAGCTCAGGTGTCAAACTGGAAGAAGTCATTGCACAGACTCACAACGTCACATATTTATCAGATAAAGGTAATTCCGGTTGCTAGATATTTCCTATTGAACAGGAGATGACGAAAACAGGTGGAATTAGGTTAATCTGGAGGACTAGCTGATTTCTGAACACTAGCCAAAACGACGCTAGTTCATTTTCCCGTAATAGGGTAAACTTACAAGTTTTCATGAACTCCGCACGAGACTGACAGAAGGCGAACTAGAAAAAAAAATGTTGCAGTTTGCTAAGATCCTGCGTCGGAAATTGCGATGGAATAAGTACCATAAATTCTATTTCAGAGTGATAGCGGAAGTTCTAAACTTTCATGAATTGAAACAATAAAGATTTACCTCCCTTTTATTTCCTTTGCCTATATAAGTGGGTGATAGACTTGTTTATCACAATTAAACACCGCAGCGGAAATTCTACGCCACGCCCGGCGGGTATAAGCGAACCGTTGGCATATTTGTCAGCATTCTCTTTGCGATCAGCGAGCGATTAACGTTGTTTGTACTTAGTGCAATCTGTAATTTTTTTTCTCTTCTATTTACCTCCCTATCATGGGGAGCATCGCGTATGGTCTAAGGCAATAAAGACCCAGTTACCCCCAATTGAGTTGGTGTGTATTTATAAAAGAAAATTCGCCCGTACTTTATTTGTTCATGAACGGAGAACGAAGAAGGCAGCCGGTAAGAGTGAGTAAATAAGATATGTAAGAGAATTTAGCTGTACACTACACGTTTTCTGAGTAGTTTCGATTCTAAATTTACTTTAGTCGTAGAATTGGTATTATTTTTTGCAGCCTTTGTGAGTACATTTGCAAACAACACCAGCAAAAATACAATGAGGGGCATAGACATGGAATAGGTATGTAAAATCTGGATGTTTGGAATACAACATTGCAGTACTTAGGTCTAATGCTTACTTTTTCAAACGTAGGACCTCTTGTGAAACATTTATGCCATTTCATGTTAAAGCTTTTAAATTTGAAGAGGCTGGAAGTTGTAACAACTACCCTTAAAGCCGCGTGGGACTTATGCGACTCTAAATTTAGTAACCCGATTAAACTCAAGATGAATCGACGTTAACGAACAATACTTGCGACGAGTTTAAATGTTTTTCGATGCTGGTTCTAAATAAAGCACACACAGTCAGTTTTTCTCACAAAGTTGAATTTCTCCGCTCATGGTAGCTTACGACATCTGTTTTTATTGATCTATTTTCTGTTCTGAGTTCTGTTCAATTCGATTTCCAAACTCAATCGGCTTATTCAATCCTTTCATTGTAAAATTTTCTTGTAGTCTGCAGATTCGGTTTTAAATTAGCTTCTGTCATAGGAATGGCAAATCCCTGTCTAGTTGGCAGATGATTGGCAGTCACTTGAAAACCACGCGATTCCCCCCCCCCTCGCCCCATCTTAAGTTGTTGTAGTTTATCAGTATCATCATCATCAGCATCATGATTATCATTATTATTATTATTTTTCAGGTTTTGCTACGCTGTTTCTGGCACTTTGTGTGACTTTTCGAATTGTGCCATCAACGTGTGCAGCACCAATAGATGGCCAGAAGAACCATGCTCTCTACTCGAAAAAAACAACGATGGAAGGGACTCAGGACAGCACATCGTTGAGATGTATGAGTAAGATTTTCTACGCTCGTATAAGTGTAGCTACCCCTTATTCACTTTCATAGCTATCCGTTTAATCCCTTTTTTTTTTTACAGTTAAGAACTGTGCTGAGCTGTACAAATCCGGCCAAAAGATCAGCGGTGTTTACACAATCGACCCAGATGGTTCGGATGCCTTTGATGTATATTGTGACCAAACAACAGCTGGTGGGGGGTGGGAAGTGTTTCAGAAGAGATTCAATGGCTTTGTTGATTTTAACCGCACTTGGGATGACTACAAACATGGCTTCGGTAACTTTACTGGGGAATTTTGGCTCGGACTGGACAAGATATACCGCCTGACACGAAACGAGACAAAGAACATGCTACGAGTTGATCTGGGAAAAGCCACTGGCGAAACTGTTCACGTTGAGTATAGCTGGTTCGGGATTGGGAGCGAGACAGCTATGTACCGACTGTACATTGGCAATGTTACAAGTAAGTGAGAGGCTTTTTTAACATTCGTTGGTGTTTTTTTTTTTTTTTTTGTTTTTTGTTTTTTGTTTTTTGTTTTGTTTTTTTCTATATTACTTTCCTCTCATCGCCAAAGACCTCCCTCCCTTAGCTACAAATATATAGAGAAAACAGTTAATGATCTCGGCTTCAGAAACATATAAAAAAAAATCATTTATCTGACTTGCACGCTGTAAACAAAATCTCGATGCTTTACCCTACTTCGTTATTGGAGCTTAAAACAACTATTTGTGACTTTTATGCTAACCGAAATAATGTCATTGAAACAGCATGTTACCATTGTTTGAATTGAGTTCTGTTCCGTTGATGGTGTTGTTCATTTGTTTGTTTGTTGTTGTTGTTTTTCTTCTTTTTGGTTACGGCAAACAAAAACTTTAGGGCTTCTTACGTGTTATACTGACTTTGAAAATACGTAAATTCCGTTATCTCATTTTGGAACAGATGCAACTGTTTCCTTTGATTCCCTCGGTGGTCACAACTATTTCGATTTTGGTACCTGGGATAGAGATTCTGCGGATTGCACTCAAAAAAGAGGTGGAGGCTGGTGGTATGGCAAAAGTAAATGTGCTGTTTGGTCAAATCTCAACGGAATTTATCCATGTTGTGGAAATGAAACTGGGGCCAATATCCACTGGGATAAATTAGTTTCAACTAGTCCGAAAGGCGGCGCTCCCACATCAACTGAAATGAAAATTAGACTCGTAGATTTTCTGTAAACTTTCTTTGGAAGAGTATAGTGATTTTCACGTGTTCTGATCAATGTATAACTGGCCTAGTATAGACGAATCTGACGTATCCCTCGCTGATTACGATTGCGATTTCCTGATGAGTGTTCACTTTGCCTCGCTGGAATTCAAATATATTCATGTGGGGAAACACCATCGTAAATTGTTTCCCAGTGATTACTTTATAACCAATGATTCGAAAATGCTACATATCAAAAATTAGTTCGTTGCTGTCGGAATTAAACCAAAATATCCTTTAGTCTAGTTTTATTGTATGCTGTTCATGATTTCTGCGCGTGTTTAAAGTCTGCAATAATGAAACTTACATCTGCCCAATCGATGCTGTTTTAAAACATTGAGGAGTAGTTTTTACCACAAATAATTTATAATATGCTGATAAGAAAAATTCAACCATAGTATTTTGGCTTAGATTTTAAGAGCACTCGTCCTGGTCATTTGCATTAGTGTCACAACTATTTGATTCTTAGCAGGCTTTGTAACAGGGTGGAAGCTACATCCCATAATTCTTTTAGATTAAATCAAAACGATGATCTCACAACTTGCAAAGAAGTTTTCATATATGAATCTTTTCATCGAATTGTAGCGTAATGAACCATCAGCTTGAGTTTATATGTATATATTTTCTCCAATTTTCACAGTTTTTTCCTTTGAAATAATTTTTTAAGACTTTGTTATTTTATCGGTATCAATAAACCCATTGAATATGATATTACAAAAAAAAACTATTCGTTATGTGTGTTTTGTCATATGATTAAGTGAATACTGTTATATATTATTTATGTATTTGTATCGATAGCCTGAACCTTGTCCCATTTTGAAGGATTATTTTGTCTGCATATAATATCGACCACAAATAAATAAAACTATTTCATCCTAAGCACTAAGAAAAAGACAATCCCACATATCTATACCAAAACAATATTCATTGTTTGCCGGAACAAGGAAATCTGTATGAAGGAGAAGGGGGCGGGGAGGGGGAATGTGTTAAGACCAAAGCCGTCCCACCCCCCTCCCCCTATGCGGCCTGCGGGTAGCTAGGGGTGGGTAGATGACAAAGGCGGGTTCTAAGGTTGATGGTGAACTTAAAGTGATCCTACCGATTCACGTTCAAGAATGAGACAAACCTAGACATGGAAATCTTCATCCTTCATGCAAATTTGAGCTTTAGATAATGCATGAGTTTTCTCCATTTTCTTCGCCGGAAAAAAACGCAAAAAGATGACAGAAAAGATGCAATTAAGGAACTTAAGGAGGGTGGCAAGATCTGAGGATTTGAAAGATAGCTTGGTGAGATACCAACAACACAGGCTCACGGTGATGATGGCACGCGGCTCTCTTTCAATGAAAATACAGTTCCACAGCTATTTAGTTGTTCTGGTTTGCCTGCTTGCCTGCAGTAGACTGAGCGCGCGATGCAAAGCTTCCTTGTGGAACTCCGCCGCCATACTTCTTTGCGGCTTCTGAACTCTGAATTCTTGACGCATCTCCTTTAGTCATCGGATTTCTGGGCTGTGCGTTTCCTCCAGAGCTTTGACTACCTTATTTGTCCATGGTTCTCTGAATCACTCGCTTCTTACGTCATATTCATATGTGACAGAGAAAAGGAAAGGAACGAGTATCATTCAATGGTCGGTTTTACAACGAATGCCATCGATGTTTCCATCATCATTTAAAGTGGAAAGAATCGAGGATAACATTTGGTGAGATGCGAATTTCAAGGCACTTTCAGGACGATTCAACCTAAGCTGTTTTTTTTTTATTCCACTCACGCAGAGGACGCTAAGATGGAAGATTATAAACTGAGAACTTTATTTCTTAAGTTAACCCTCATTAGTTTTCTCTCACCTAGAATGAAAATTTGGTGCAAAATGAAAATAAATTTATCTGTTATAATCCCTGTGGTTTTATTTTTCGTTTTTTCTTTTTTTCTTTTTTTTTTTTTTTTTTTATATTGCATTCAACTTCACTTTGTGAGAATAAGTAAATTAAGTAAATAAGTTGATCACCGTCGGGTTATCTATAGAACTGGATGGAAATGCCATCAAGGTAGCAGTTATTTGCGTGATTTTGTCTGTGGAAAACCGCTACGACAACCTGCATTAGCTATTTCCACCTGAAGATTGCTCGCAATAAAACTCCAATAAGCTCTTTTCCAATAAGAATATGTGACTTTTCGTCGAAACTAGGAAAACAGATCCAAAGCGTTACGCGTTTAATGAAGAAAATGTCTACAGTTTCCATCGCATAAAATTCATGCACTTCTTAGAGAAATATTAGCTACGAAAATTAGGTCTTTAAAGAAATATGTCTTTTTGGAGAGACACGCAGCGTATCTTAAAAAAATCTTGAAAGAAAAATGTCACCGAAGCAAAATTCTGCAAGTTGGGAAAGTGTAAGAGAAATCTAATTCTCTCTTAAGGGTTTTAGAGCCCCAGTTTTTCCGAATTCTGCATTCAATCGCGGGGGGAGGCCACATACTAAGATTCGTAAGTGACAAGCGCCGGTCATGATACTGGAATCAATCATATTGTAGTTTCATAGATCACTCGTAGGCAGATAAATCAGCTACCCCAAGGTCTATTATTTGTATCTAAAGTCAGCATTGTCAACATTTCTCTGCCGTTTCATCTGATAATAAAAGAAAGAGACGAAATAGCTTGCTTGTTCGTTGGTCGAATTAAAAACAGTTCGGTTCGTTTGTCACGATTATATGATAAAGAATAGATCTGAGTCTCTTTGAGGATTCAATCTCTAAACCTGGAGATCTTCTCTTTTGAATTTCGTCGTTTGACGAAGGACCTCGAACCTTACTCTCTTTATTTATCTATTTTCAGACAAGAAGTTTTTGACATTGACTCCTGTGTCATATAAACCATTTGTATGTCTTGGCTCATTAAAGGGTGTCCTGTAGATCTATGGTAGAGCTTCGCATCGCAAAATCCGAAGTTCAGAGATTCGAATCTTCAAAGAAAACTCAATATGTTTCTTTCTCTCACGCTTGTGACAAATAAATACGATATTTCTTTGATTTTTTCGTCTTATATTTAACTTATTTCGCCTATATATTCAATCACTATCCGCTTAACATTGAAGATCTCTTATATCCCAACCAACTAATTCAGTTCTCACCTAACTCTTGTAAAAATGTGATTTTCCCCGCAAGCGCGTAACAAAACGGTTCACTTAGTGACACTAGCAGTTTGGATGAAGTTGAACATTATTATAAGCGTGACGAAGTCGGTAGAAACCGAAAAAATATGAACTGTTTCTTTCGACTCATTCGTAAGTCATGAATTTATTATGTGGCTCTGCTATTTCATTATTTATTTGCCAAGTTGGTTTCAAACGTAATATTTTAGCCTTTCAATTTCATAAATCTGATGCATGGCACTACTATATTAATCTTCATCCCTTTGAATCTTTTTTTCCGCTGGTGTGGCTTGTCGTTATGAATCATGTCTTTTCGAAGGTTGTATTCAGAGCTTCAACTCTAAGTGCAAGAATTATTTCAGAAATATAATCGACTATACCCTGCGAGCAGAGCCTTTTCAACTCCTGCTCGAATCGGAAAGGGAAAAATGCTCTGCCGACATCCTGTTGTTGCTCGTTTGAACATGCGCGGCGGTTGCCTAGAAACTAATCCTCTTCCATGCCCCCTTGAACTATTGTGAGCGCAGATTTGGTCATCTGTGTACGTAAAAAACCAAGGCGTGCGCACCAAAACCGGTTTGACTGGAGGCAAAACCGGCTTGAGTAGCCAGGAGTTTGAAGGCCCATTGGCCGATCGCACAGTATGTTGGGTTACAAAAATAAGCCCGGCGAGGGTAGCCAGCGACCTGCAGTCGACAAACAAACCAGTTAGCTCCCCTTGTCCCCTCGAGAGGTTTTTTCAAGACCGCATTGTTTTGATCACACCTTTCCATTCGATGTTCATTGGCCAATGGGCCCACAAATTTTTCAAGCAGCCAAATTCGAAATTGGAAAGCCGATCGATCTAGAGATAAAAGCATCGCTAGTGAGCGATCTGTGGGAGGAATTGGGAATCGAGTGAATGGAAATGGAACTGCAACATCTTTGTTTTGATTTTCTTGAGGAATCGAGACTGGTAGTAATTTTTTGGCGGAATTATTTGCTTCGGGCGACGGACACTTCTAAAACAGGTTGCCGGCCTTGTCTTTCTTTTAGCAGTTGAACACCAACATAGCGCTAACTCGCCGAAAACGCTTCAAAATGGCCTGGAGACGCTAGGAATCCACAAAGAAAACAACAAGGCAATAAGGTAAGTCCATTTTATTTCAAAACAAGACATTTTTTTTTCTCTCTTTAAAGGCAAACCGATAAAATCCCATACAAACCTTTATAAATATAAAACGTTGCGCAACACGGTAAGAGTCACGTCCGATTTTCTAGTAGTGAGCTTGGGCTGCCTGTGGTTGGGGTAGGAGACGTTAATTTCCCACACACGAGATTACTGTGTAATAGATGTCCTCCACGGGGGTGGGATTAATGGATTTATTGGGCCCGCAGTAATCGGCGCAAGCTGTTGCGGTGTCCCTGCCGGTTGGCGAAGCTAAGTAAAATAAAATAAGATAAAAAATAAAATAAAAAATAAAATACATTCATTTCAAAATCATGAAAACTCAAGCGGCCTGTTTTCAAATAAAGCGAAAGTATGTCTCCAGGAAGGAAAAATGGAATACAGAAAAGGAAAAACTAATGATGCGATGAACTCCTAGCTACGCGGAAGGAATTCAAGGGAACTGTAACGATACACGGCTGAACGCCAAGCTTTACAGCGACAGGGCAGCAGCTCATTTCCATTCGGGTAAAAATTCCTTGCTGAAACTACTAAATCCTTCGTGCAGCGTAAGACAATAAAATAAAGAATCTGAGATCATTTTAATATGACTTATCAACGCCTGCCACTCCCTCTGAAATTTATTAAACTCCTAACTGGAAGGGATAACTCTTTATCTGCATCTGGACATCCACAATGTCCATTCTTTATGTTCCAACTGGGGCTTGTTTCCTTCGATCGATTTACTTGTGCCCTGCGACTTCTTTCACTCCAATCCGCCGACCATTGCGTAAAAATGTTCCTTCGACTTTTACGTTTAGCTAACTCCCGAAAAGGCCCCCAAATGTTACCGCCCGCGGAAGGAGATGTCGGAATCGTACACATGCAAGACAAACATACAAAGCAATATGGCAGACCAAAAACGAACATCGTGCGTTTATTGTTTTCTTTTGTTTTGTTTTGTTTTGTTTTTTTCCACGACGCCTCGCGACTAAACCAAATACTTTTAAAGGGGGGGGGGTGGTGTTGGTTTCTTCACTTCTTATCCTCAACATTATCAAGCCCAGTAGCAAAGAGGGAACTACCATTTAGTGCGGATTTTACAGCCTCGTGTACCACGTAGAACTTTGAGCCACATCAAATAGTGAAACAGAAAAATTGCAATACTCCTTTGGAGAGATGAATGAAGAGGGTAGAGAGCGTAATTGAGAGGAAAAATAAGAAGGAGCTCGAGGCCCGTTTCTTCAACAAAATTGCAGCAGTAATTCCTTAAATCTAACAGCACCAAAACCCTCCAGATTACAAAACGAGGATTCAAGGACCAAAGCCATCATGTATTTTGTAGCAACATTCATGAATGCAAGTATATCCGTTAAAATAATAATAATAATAAAAAAGTACAAGAAAGGACTAAAGCATGGCATTTAATTTGTTCTTACACCTTGCGAACATGATTCGGCACGAAGGACCATAAAAAAGCCCCATACTCTCATGATACCTGTTAGGGGAGCCATTTTCAAAAAATTACTTAAGTGTTAATCTAGCTTGCCACTGACTCGACATTTACTTGCTATTCTCAATATGCAGAAGTGAATTACAAACTGACATAGCTCACTTCTCACTGCTAGCTTACAAGCTGACATAGCTTACATTTAGCCTGCAGTACAGGCGCTTATGCGGGCGAGTTAATTAACGTTACGTTATTCGACTGGCCATGTTTGAACTCCGCCACGGTACAATGGTAGAAGCAACGAGAAACTAGAAAGAAATATATGGCGAAAGGCAGTTTCGATGTTCGAAAAGACGATTTTGAGAGAGATCTACGCTTTTTCGCCGCAGTTTTATCATAGATGGATTGAGATAATTATTTTACAAGGTAGGTGTAGGTTATGATGGAAACTACCTCGAAATATGTTAAATATACTGATAAATTCAGTTCTCTCCTTGGGTACGGTCTATTGAATTTTCATCGCGTAATGGTCTCGACGTATTACAAAATTAGCAATAAATCGCTAAGAAACAACTCATTTAAGTCTTATAAGTTATATTTGAGTATGTAGAACCTATCTTCATACTCGTCGACGTATTAAATAAACAACTTACGACGTCTGAAAGTATACATCCTCAAAGGAGAGAAGTCGTTGTAAGCGTGATGGAAATGTCTTTTTAACCCAGCTGTTGTTCTTTGAAGCGATGGAATAAGTGATGAAAAACATGAGGATACCCCTGGGTTAAGCGATAGTTTGTCTGAGCAAAATCCAAAAGTTTTTGAGCTGCCACTTTTCTCCTCGAGCTCCTTGAAGGATCTGTCGGGAAAGGCAAGATCACGGGAACACCGACAGAAACTGTGGACATATATTCAGTTGCGCATCGCTCCTTAAGCCATTTGCACCTACTCTACTTAGAAATGTTTAGTTTGAATCGCTAAGAAATAACTAATTAAGACTTTTCAGTTTTATTCTATTGCGATAGTTATACCTCTGCCTATTTTCTTGGCTTTGTAACACAAAAGAGCGCTGATACAGCTACCTCGAAACAGCACGAGATTGAAATGGAATGCTTGAACACTAAATATTATCGTGATACATTAAAGTGATTCAACACCTACATTGCTTACTTGTTGTTATCTACGAAAACGAACAAGGATTGATAATCGGCTCAAAACTGAACCTTTTCTTCTGCGAAAATAGGCTTTTAATTGAACGCGGCGAAGGAATTTTTCTAGGTCTTGTTTAACCTAGAATTCGTGCGTTGTTTTAGAAATAGGAACAAAATTTAAGCCCTTACTGAGGACGGATTTTTTTTTTTTTAATTGGGAAAGTGAAAGATTTTCAGGAATGGTAACTACAGTTTTGCGGTTTTTTGGCGATGAGTGGTTAGAAATTTGGGGACCAATAAGTTTGTCAAGTTTTTGGGCCTTAATTTAGTTCAAATTATTGAATTAATTTCCTGATTTTTGGTGCGGATAGATTGTACTAAAACTGCTGGACAGATTTTGGAAAGTTCAGAGCGGCAATGTAGAATATGTTCGATGAAGTGATTACGTTTTTTCATGACAAAGTGGATGATTCTAACACCTCAAACAAAGACACTCTCGAAACACTTCAGATTCTAAAGTCTAAATGGACTCCCTTAGAGGTCCAGTTCGCATCATTAGAATCTTTCCTCAAAAAATGTCGCCACGATATTAACAAACTTCATTTCAATCGTAGTACCTGACAGATATTCCACCTTCGCGGTAGCGAAAGACGATTCTCATAATTAAATAGCAAAAACTTTTTAGGGCCGACCTTTCTTCAAAGAGGCACGAATTCGTGAGAAGTGCATATAATTTAGCGAAAGAGCTTGTGATAGGTTTCGATGTCAACAATGAGATTTGTGATAAAATGTACTGTTAAATATTTCCAACTCTTTAATATCTCAGAGTTGTCAAAAACGTCACTGGCCTACAAACGGTTGCTTTCCTTTCCTTAGCTGTGTGAATAACTATGACACTTCAATGCAAAAATATTCCTTCTTCTACACTAAGTTATTGCAATAGGCATCGGCGATACAAAATATAACGGGTTAGTTAGCAGTTAAGGTTAAACCTAAGAAATCTTGCATACCTTTATAAACCACCTTTTAGGTCGCTTAAAAAAATTGGTGAATAATGCACTCAAAGATGTTAAGCGAGACTTGTGTCGTCGTAGGAGCAAGGTCACCGATTGTTTAACCGATTAATTTGATTCACGCTTTTAGTTTTAAAACGCCTCGCTGCCTTTACGGAATTTTCCAGTAACAATCAATGGCTTTAGTTTCAGTAGAACATTATTAAATGTATCAACCATTGGTTAGAAATATGCGGTTTCATGTTCACTCAAAGTTAAATTCGTGTTTAGGAGATGAAATAACTCTTCAAAAAGTAGTACACGTATTTCAGGTAACATTCTAGGCATAATCTCATATGCACGCATTTGAAAGGCGACTCGTAACAACCGTAATAGTTAGTTATCCCGAAACCGCTACGATTAGAGGATCAATCAGCTACAGGCTACCATTTCACTACCCTTGGGCTTAACTCTGTGCTATCGTCCGTGCGCGCAAGTCGTCATTAAAGTAAATTTCTTATCTTTTACCTTCATTGTTATTATTACCAAGTTGTCTAATCTTTAATTGTTGTCGTGATTGAGATATATTCAGCGCTAGTATTTTTTAGTTCAATTATTTACTATTTTACTACTTTGAGTGAAATGTTCTTAGCACTCTTCTTGTGCTGAGACTTGTTAGTGGGGTGTTACGAAAACTAAGACCTAAGACCTAAGACCCTCTTAGCTTTCGAGATTATGAAAACTAAAATCAAATTCGTCGAAATATAAATTCTACTTGTAACCAAAACAGGTCTAATCTGTCAAATTATCTCCTGTCCGACCCTTTCCACCGAGTTTTAGGTCAAATTTGACGGTACTTTTAAGGATCTTAGTTTTCGTAATTTCGAAAATTAAGACCCCTCTTAGTTTTCGTAATTATGAAAACTAAGACCCCAACTAAACCATCGTGTAAAATTTCTACCAAGTCGAGTTACGACCGTTCTAAGACTATAATCCGTAAAACAACCAAACACTATCATCATATATACGCGTGCTAGACGATCCGCTTCCTCTAACAAATTGCAATCATACTAGCAGCATTGTCGCTTTATAAAGAGGATGAAAGCCATACACTACCTACGTATAACTGTACACTGAAAATATGCCTTACCCTTATTGGTCTTTAATTTTGTGTTTTATCCTTTAAGCCTCAGCTATAAGCCCCTTGGGCGATCATGCAAAATTGCATGATGACGTAATGCCTTTCGGAAATCTTCGGATTACATCCGATCGCTCTGAAATTCCGGCTGTTGGATCTAGACGTTCTTAGCCAATCACACGGCGACTCTCAGCCCCGAACTACGAAACGTGACTTCGGCAGCCCTTTTCCGGAGATCACATTCATACAATCTTAGTTCGGTCAAGTGGCGTCCGCTGCGAAGCGTCTGAAATATCTCCGAAATAGTACAGTTGAAGTTGTAAACACTATTCTTGAGGATGGAAGCGATCACGATGGTATGTTTAGTGGCAAAGAATCGGAATTAGGCATAAATCTGGAAAATCCTAAAAAAATGCTTATCATGCGCGTCGAGAGACATCGTACAATTTGCACCCTGTTGAACATAATCAAAATATTTGCCTGTTGTGTTTAATTGGTCTTAGATTTAAAGAAAAACATGAGAGGTTTTTGCATTGTAGTAAACTTTTTGTCCATATATGGTTAAAAACATTTTTAATATAATAAGCTATACTAAACTAAACTAGAGAAGTTTCTCCATTCGAACTTTGCTGCATTGCAAGATATTTGCACAGAAGACATTTAAATTAAAGGAATGCTATGAAATATCTGTATGGTACATCACGAGCCACAGGTAAACGGAAGTTCAAATATTAGAAAAGGCTGGTTGCTATGGAGTGACGTCATAAACCGGATAAGTTTCCATCATCGCCTTGACAGCCTTTTTCGATAATTGCTCGCAGTAATCTGAGTAGTTGCTTGAATTTGTACAATCTCTGTTCCTGCTGGGTACAATGAAGCCTTTTGTTTATTAGGGGCTGGATCGGCCTATTGACATTTGGAGATTGGATTTCATATTAATATGCGTAAGCAAAAGCGGGAATGTTTAGTTTCCCGCGGTCGAGTGCAGTTATGGATCCCTTGAAACTTCGAAGGGTTGAATTGCTTCATTCTCCTCCAGATGAGTCAAGGGAATGGTTTATCTTAAATTTCAAGAAATGTGGCATAAGAGTCAGCAAGTTTTTTGAAGTAGCCTGTTGGTGGCACATTTTCCAAGCGTTTTGTACGGTCCAGCTTTAAAAAATGGCGGAAGCTTGGATGACCGATATGTTCAGAACAACAAAGTGGCCATCGCCTCTCTATTTGGAGTTGTTTCTACCATCTTCCGGCAGAAATTCGAAGAAGGAGAAGTGGTGAGATATCTTTGGTTGATCGATAAAATAAATTCTTGATCCTGGATCAAGAAAAGCTTGGCAAACGTTACTTAGCATTTTCAAGCTAAGACGAACCGGGGTAAGTCATAACGTTTATATTTTTATTAAGATTGGAAAAAGTGAGTTTGCTGTCTTATGTTTTGTTGTGAATGCTGGTTTCACGGTGTATCAGAACTCATCTCTGCTTGGCAGGAAAATCACATAATTGGCTGAGTTTGATTTTACGCTGAGCCTCTAAGTCTTCTAGCTATGATCACTTTTTATGGCTACTTTAGGAGAAATTTCGGGTTTGTTTCCTTGATAGGGTCTTGACAGTATTATAATTTATTTCATTTCTATTTTTCTACGATAAAAGATTTAAATCGCCAGAGGGATGCCATTGAGAAAACTGGAATAGTAGTTAATGGAAGATGCTTTAAAGTTAAATTTCCAGGTTATTTGTGTGTGCCAATCTTGACTCTTTATATTTTTTTTATCTTATTATTTTTTATTTTTGCAATGTTTTTATGTTACATGTCTAGCTACGTGATAGTAATTATTGAATCCATTTTATGCTTGGCAGTGTTAGAAAATATCTGGGAAAGTATAACATTTGAGATCTTTGGTGTAGCTATTTTAACTTCAACTTCTTGTTATCTTCTTGTCTTTTTTCATGACAGTTACTCTTGATTACAAAACACTGATAATGCTGCTCAAGCAAAGAGCTGGTGATGCCAAAAAATATATCAATGAACTTTGCAAGCAAGGATTGGACACAGAGTGCTGTGTATTCTGCAAAGTTATTAAGGTAGGTTATACCTGCAATGCTAAATGACATGCATCATAGTGGAATTATACAATAACACAAAACATATTCAGCCTACTGGTATTTGTTATGCAATTTATTTATAATCAATTAGTGAGAGCTTTCTTGGCTTTCTTGACTTTACAGAAAGGCAGACGAAAGGTGTCCATAAAAGTGAACATATTTTATCTGTGGTGAACAGTGATTATATATCTACCATTAGTAGTGAACATTATATGACTTTAGCTCAGTTAATTCATTATTGAGTGATACATGCAATTTATTTGTAGGAATGTGCCTCTCCTGATGTTCCTTTTGGGGAAGCCTTTGCTGAGTGTTTCCTAAAGAGCAAAGCAAATATTGGGGGGTAGGTACAACTCTGCATTTCTGCATTGACATGCATAAAAAGTTCCAGCTTGCAGTATGGTATTTCACTTTCTATTGGAATACATGTCTTTAAATCTCACTTGGGATACTTAGTTTGATGGACAGTTGGCATACTGCCGGCCGACAGTTGGCCGACAGACTTTTAGGGGAGCTGTTCTTCACTTTTACCCAGTTACCAGCAAAAATATGGTAAGCTTGGATTATAAAGGTGGAATATGTATTACCTTTCCTTTTTATATGGCTGGCTTCGCAAGCGGTGCAAGATGCAGCGAATTCTGTGAGCTGATTGGCTATTAACCCTTGCTTATTTTTCGTTTTCTGCGGTGGCCAGCGTTGCAGCCATTTTGTCTTTGTGTAACCTGCAGGCAAGCTCTCGCTTGGCTCTTATCGCTTGGCTCAGGTTTGAGTTTTCCTGCTTGGTCAATAACGCATTACTGGATCTACCGCGCTCTATGTTAATTTCCAAACCACTCTAGCGCACAGCGCTTGACTCAGTATTTAAAGTTGGTTTTTCGGAAAAAGTCAACGTCCCACCCCTCTCAAGAAGCTTTTAGAATATAAAAATTCAAGGACTTTCTAAGGATTGGTTAAATTCATTGGGGGACTTGCCCTGAAATTAACAGACTTGCAAGACAGTACGAACCCTGTTAAAGTTCAAGGGAGTTTAAACTTGTTCGTAACGTGTCATTAAACGAAAGTTGGTCTTTGTCTGTTTAAAAGCTTTGTCAGCTTGTTCAACATCTATCTTGATTTGAAAACAATTATTATTACCCCCGGTCTCTGTTTATTCACGATTTTAATCATCGTTGCGGAGGAGGTAGCGCAAAGAGATTTTCAACACCAGTGCGTTAATCACATCGTACCTATAATGTCTGTAATCTCTCGCAACTATCTAGAGGATTCCGGCACCAATATAGGTCATATGAAGGCCAGTGACAAAGAATCTTATGTGTACTGCATGAATATCGTTTAAAAAAACTGGAACAGTGTGTAAACTATAAATGCGACATAAAATATCAGTGAGAAAAAGCCGCCATGTATTGTGGACTCTGCGTTAAACAGCAAAAGAAATTATAGGTTGTAATACGCCGAGTTTATTCCCAATAACTGGTAACCGGATGCTCAAAAATTACAGCACCAAGCGTCAGCTGTCAAAGATTCCGAACACAGCGGAAAAAAAGTCGTCGGTTCTGGAATTTACTTTGTTTCCGATCCGAAAACAAAAATCTGGTAAAATTGATTAGAAAACAAAACACTCAGGCCGCCAGTTAAATGTCGTAGTAAATAAGCGTCGCAGCCTATGTCAGTATTAATGAAGTTAACTAAATCCGCAAGCATTGACTAAGAAATGTTTCTTCGACGTGACTGTAACTGCCGCAACACACTCCGGGCGAGCGCTTTGTCTTGTCACTATTTTTAAGCGCCGGCCATGTACACTTTTTTCGGATACGGCTTCTTTAATTACCTTTTCACGCCATAGGATGATGACATGATTGTGTAAAAGTTGACGCCTCTATCAGATTAGGAGCGAAATACGATCAAAAATTTTACCCAAGCAAGCCACTGGTATCCAGCAGAGAATGCGGACTAAAAGTACGGATTCTCTGCTGGATACCTAGACTTTTTTTGGTTGCTAACGGCGTGAGGCTCGTTATGCAAGAAAGGCTACTGACTTACACCAGTCACAAAAGCATTTGTTCGGCGTGGTCGATTTGATTGTCCCACTCCACCTCTAGCTTTAAGTCCTTCTGGGTCAGCTTCCCCCATAACAGCATATATCACATCGCGTGGAACACTCAGTCCATGTAATTCTCGAACTTTTTGTTGCATGGCCCGATAACCTAGAAGCTTTCCTGGACCTTGTAACTCCTTCCTAACAGCCCTCTTAACTTCTGCTATGTCAACTTCGTAGTCGGTATACTTAATGCCGGAAAACTCCAGCCTGCGGCAAAGGCTTCTTAGACTCCATGCATACATCGGATAATCCACCTTAATAAAGTCTAAAAACTCATTTCGCCGCAGGTTTTGTCGAACATATTTCTGAAGGTCACCTCTAAGAGCCTCATCATTTTGCCAATCCGGGTTCCTTACCCGCTCCGCCATCTTGGATCGTATCACTCGTTTCAAGATGGCGTGGTTACAATGGGCGCTTAGCATTATGGGCGATGGCACTCCTGGGCCACACGAGGGTGTGCATTATGGGCTCTGGCACTCCTAGGCCACGAGGGGTTCAGTTCAGTTTCAGTTCAGTTCACTTTCAATACCAATATGATTTAGTTTTCAGGTGTAAGAATGAACTCATCGCAGTAAAATTGAAACTAAAAGGACCAATTAGAAAATGAGAATTCAGTTCAATTCAAGTTAAACTCAACAAAAAACAAAACCCATTCCGAAAGTTGAAAAAATAAAATAATATAATAATTAAAATAAAAAATAATAATTAAAATAAAAAATAATAATCAAAAGAACTAAAAAAAAACTAAAATAAAATAAAATGAAATGATTAAAATAAAAAATAGTAATTAAAACAGCTAAAACAATAAACTTTTGACAAAAAAGACAAAAACATACAAGGAAAATACGTAAAAATCGGTAATTTTGCTAAGGCCACCATACAGATGTGATGTGATATCGAGTGACGCATTCGCGGCCGAACTAAATGTTGCATTGTATTCGACCTGTATCTTATCTAAAATGTTTCGTATGCGTTTTATATGTGGTTCTTGTTACACTTCGAAAATTTACAAAAGAAACAAATAATGCATAAAAATACGTGTTGTGAAAATGTTTGAGTGGAATGACATAATTATATAAAATGACATTCTCCAGTTTCACTTCTGAATTGTTTTACTCTTGAATTACAAGTGAAAGGCTTTTTATAAATGTTGCACTTTATGTATTTTGAGGGTTGATTATTGTAGTACACAGTGGTTAAAAATAAAAACGGTTTTATTCACGTACCTAACAGAACTGACTAAATAATTAAGGGTCGTAGGTTGAGGGCCGTAGGTTAGAAAAATGTAATAGGTTATTGCGCTTCCCTCTTTAAATAAAATCATTGTATTGTATTGTATTGTATTAAAAGCAATAAAAAACGACGAAAAGAGCTCTTGATTGATCAATACTAAAATTTCCAAGCGCAATACCAATGGCTTGAAAGTGAAGATTGAATCAGTTGGCTGACTTGAGTGGGGCTTGGCGATTTCGGACCATTCTTTGGCCCAGCAAATATAATTTACAAGTGTTGATTTGTCTTTGAGGTATTGTGCACCAAAATACTTTGATTTCAACTCACAACTTTCACAATTTTCAAGACAACGCAAAGCAATCTAGAAGACATCAATCAAGCACGGTGAATTAACTTTTTGGCTTCTAAGTAACATATTCGGTATTTTTCTTAAATGTAGCATTTTGTATTGTAATATTTCTTCGACATTTATACCTTGCTTTTAGTTTAGTCAACGACTTTGAAATGATGGTTAATTATGCTCTTAAATTTTCATCTAAAGTTTGTCGGTGGTTTTTGAGTACATTTTTACTAAATTATTTCAAATCCAAAAAACGATAAATTCATTAAGGAAAATACTTCCGAAAGAAAAGGTAAACTGTGTTCGAGTTCCAGCTCGTCGACAAATGAAAACGTTGTATATTTCGTGAAACTGAACAAAGAAAGTGATTTACGACACCCTTCGTTTAAAAAATCCTGGACTAAAGTTCAAGCTTCAAGAGTACGAATTACGAGTTAAAAACTTAACGAGAAAAAATGTTTTCTTCAAGGTTTTAAACTCTTAAAATCATCGAGAGGCGTTGAGCTCGTTACCAAAAGTTTTGCGGCATGGTAGCAAGAGAAAGAAACCAATCTTATGGCTGCTAGAGCGGATCTGATAAATGCGCTTTGGTAACTAAAATCCATGCAGAGCGAAGAAATTTTGATCCCAAAATGTTGAGGTAACTGGCCTTTCTTTTTTCTGTTGAGGCCCTTCTCTTTCGAAGACATAAAACCCTAAGGTAGGTGATATGTCTTTTAATATCACTTAGCTGGATGATGCTACTAAATATGAGAGCTGTGGCCTTCACGTCGTGACATGTTCTTTCTTCAAAACCGTAACAACTTTCATGGGATGTGAGAGAGAAAAGTGGTCTTTGCTTAACTTTCTTTAGGATAACTTCTGAGTCAAACTGCCGACTGATTGCAACTAGAACGACTTTAATTCAGCGTCATTTCTCCCCCTGCATGCTACGAAGTACCGATACAAATAAAGTCAAGACGGCCTTGTGAAAGTGACAATCTTTTAAGTCAGGAGTCGTTGACGATAAAATTTATCCTCTTACATTAGTTTGGCGATAAGTTATCGGTCGGGAAAGTGAACATTTACTCTGTTGGGCGATTCATTGTAAACTACTTGACTGAACCAAAAATGTGGGGTATTCGGACCACTTCTTTGGCCTTAAAGAAAGGCACCCATTTCCATATACCGGTGATCTGCGGCAACTGAACTTCGGTCGAATCAAGAGAAAATTCGCAGGACTTGCTTTCACTTGTCTTTATTGCCCCACAGTATAATCCCGAATGTAAGTCAATGTTGTTACTCAATGTCCAAAGTAGACTTTTAATGTAAATTGAAATTGCACTTCGGTTATACGAACACTGCATCACATTAGAAGACTGATTTTTACACACGCATGAAATTGAATTTACGCTATTATATAGATTTTAATGATATATCGGAATTTCTCCTGTATCGAAGTTATGACTCCACAACGTATTTTTTAAACAATTCACATACAAAAAATGCGGCAGTTTTACCTTTTGTTAAACATTCAAGTTTGTTGAGAAAAAACTTTGAGCCAAATTAACTTGAGAAACAGAATAAGTGCAAAACTCCTTTTGGAGAGATGAGAGAAGAAAACATAGAGCAATCGAGAAGAAAAAGAAGAAGAAGAAGAAGAAGAAGAAGAAGAAGAAGAAGAAGAAGAACAAAAAGATGAAGAAGAAGAAGAAGAAGAAGAAGAAGAAGAAGAAGAAGAAGAAGAAGAAGAAGAGGAAGAAGAAGATGAAGAAAAAGAGGAAGAATCTTTAAGCTCGTTTCGTTTGCAAAATCACGAAAGAGAATCCTTAAGTCAACTACATGGAGGATCCACAATAGGG